AGTCACCAATACCTTCCATATCTATCCTTGTGGCTATCCCCATAAAATAAAAAGGAGGATGAGGTAGTCAACACTGTTTTTTTTGTTTTTGTAATTGTGGTAGCCCACAAAATATTGGGACATACAACAAAAGAAACATTTGCGGCCTGGGGTGCATTTCTTGCAGTCCTGATGCATGGAGAAATGCTCAACTCCTGATGCATGGAGAAAAGGCCTTCACAAGCCTCTGCTAATGTGTGCCTAGTTTATACCAAGTGACCCATAGGTTGAGGAGGCGGTGACCGTGGCGGTGTAGGTGGAAGCAGCGGTGGAGGAGGAGGATAAGGTAACCAACACTGTTTTTTTTGTTTTGTAATTGTGGTAGCCCACAAAATATTGGGACATACAACAAAAGAAACATTTGTGGCCTGCGGTGCATTTCTTGCAATCCTGATGCATGGAGAAATGCTCAACTCCTGATGCATGGAGAAAAGGCCTTCACAAGCCTCTTCTAATGTGTACCTAGTTTATACCAAGTGACCCATAGGTTGAGGAGGCGGTGACCGTGGCGGTGTAGGTGGAAGCAGCGGTGGAGGAGGAGGATAAGGTAACCAACACTGTTTTTTTTGTTTTGTAATTGTGGTAGCCCACAAAATATTGGGACATACAACAAAAGAAACATTTGCAGCCTGCGGTGCATTTCTTGCAGTCCTGATGCATGAAGAAATGCTCAACCTCTGATGCATGGAGAAAAGGCCTTCACAAGCCTCTGCTAATGTGTACCTCGTTTATACTAAGTGACCCATAGGTTGATGAGGCGTGACCATGGCGGTGGAGGAGGAGGATGAAGTAGCCAACACTGTTTTTATATATATATACACTTATAAATATATATATATATATATATATATATATATATATATATATATATATATATATATATATATATATATATATATATATATATATATATATACACATATATATATTAATTGGAAGAGCCCCCAAAATATTGGGACATATAAAAAATACAACTCTGTATTTTTGTAGAGTAGCTGTTGACATTATAGTTGCGCAGGAACTTTGTTGACTCTAGAGAACCTCGGGCAAATCGCACACCCCCGTGGCGGCGACTTTGCGTTCGGATGTCATCCATATCAACTTTCAATGCCAGTTTCTGCACCTACCATGGTGACCACGGGTAACGGGGAATCAGGGTTCCATTCTGTACAGGGACCCTGAGAAACAGCTACCACATGCAAGGAAGGCAGCAGGCACGCAAATGACCCACTCCCGACGCGGGAAGGTAGTGATGACAAATAACTATACAGGACTCTTTAGAGGCCTGTAATTGTAATGAGTCCACTTGAAATACTTTAACTCTGATCAATTGGAGGGAAGTCTGGTGCAGAGCCAATGACCCGTGCGTGCTTCAGCTTAAACTCCACTATCGCCTGCTGCTGCTCGCACAATCTCATGAGGCGGTGAGCGGGAAGGCCGAAGTTACGCTGCAGCGCAGACAGGCGAGCAGCAGCAGGCTAAGAATGCCAAAAGCACACACAGCCGCTACAGTGAATGTCACATCCTGTTCCAAGTTGCGGATCAGTCTGGTGATGGCTTCTGGTATCAAGTACTCTTTTTACTGAAGCTGCATCAGGCTCCTGGTATGTGGCCACACAATCGCTGGTGCTCAACACCAGGGGGCGTGCGGTTACCCTGCACCAGACCCTGCTAATCCATTCCACACTGTAACTCCTAACTTCAACATCAGGCATACTGGGTCCCGGTCGTCCGACCCTCGTCACGGGACTGCCCACCTCACTGTGAAACTACGAATGCAGTTCGGGTTCACTCAAGTCTATTATGGATCCTTTGATCACTACATGTATTACTTGGATAACTGGTAATTCTCGAGCTAACACATGCCGGCGAACGCTAGGGGACGGCTGCTCCGCTTTTGCACCCTGCTCCCTTTTATGCTGTGCTGGTGCCTCTGTGTGACCAGCGCCTCTTCCTCCAAACTGCACACGTCACTCGCATGACAGAATTCGGATTCATCAGACTTTGAAATTATGTTACAGGTTGAAGATTATCAACAGAAGTAGTGAAATAGCGCTGTTAAAATGTTACTAAAACAAATTTTTAGTGATCATTTAAGCTTGACGGATTAACATAGATTTTTTTTTTGTAGGTATGTTTTGTAAAGGTATTGTAGAAATGCTTCAGTAAAACAAGGTGTGATTATAATCTCTACAATATTCTACAATATTCATACTTGCTCATTAACAGCCATTTAAAAGACTCGTACTAACTGCATATGATAGATCAAGACTTATATTAATACTAAAAAAGAAAGAATGAGAACTCTGAGAATGGACAAAAGCGTAGAGAGACTCAATAGCTTGCCATTTGGTAAATCCCCGCTCAGGTCTCAAAATAGTTTTTGCTCACTTGTGCCATTACAGAGAGAACATATCTGAAGCACATCAGACTTATCCCACCCATATGGGCAGTCCAGATCTGAAATGCCAGCAAATGCCTACTCCCTATTACTTTTTTCCCCTGCCCCCCTTCTTCTTTTTCGGTCCCCTTTCTGTTTCCCTTTTTTTGGTTTTCCTTATGTATTTGTGTACCTTTTTGCGTCACTATATCTTCCTTTTAATCTTAATGTTTATTTATTGTGCATTTTGTGTCATTCCATTCTTAATTGGTGTGTAGCTTTATATGAGGATAATATACTTTTCTTTGTGCATTGCTTAACTTGATATCTGTGTACTTAATCAATTTCCTAATATGTTTATACTTTTTTCCCTATTCTTTACATGTTTTACCCATTATCCCCTTGTGCTTTCAAACTCTTCTTCCCTACCTTTCCTTTAGATAGTTGGAGCCTTTCTTTGGTTGATGAGTGATTGGGGCTACTTCCAATTTTGTTTGCGATTAGCCAGCTTTTTAGATCTTCTGCTCGGTCAATAAGAGTAATCTTTCATTTGTATGTTATAATAATTTTCAAGGGGAACCCCCATCGGTATTTGATGTTATTGTGTCTCAGAATTAATGTACTACAAGAGAAGGTTTTCCTCTTTTGTCTGGTTGACAAGACAAGACAAGTCCTGAAATATTTTCAGGGTTTTATACTCTTCTGCGCATGTATTACTTCTTGTGGCTCTCAGTATTTGTGTCTTGAGTTTAAAAGAGATGCAACATATCAGTACATCTCTTGGAAAGTGGTCTGGGACACCTTTATGTTTATTCACTCTGTGGCATCTCTCCATCATAGGGAATCTGGTGTCCCATTCCACATCCAGGTGTTTGATAAAATCTTCTATATATGGCTCCACGTTTTTTGCAGTTATTTGTTCTGATACTCATCTGATTCTTAAGTTGTTCTGTCTTGACCTGTCTTCCAGGTTTGTCAGTTTGTTCTCCATGTCACATATTTTTTTTTCTAGTGCCAGGTGTACTTCTTTGTGGACTTTTTCCTTGCATTCCATCCTGTTTCATTTCTCTTCTATCCCTTGTATTCGTAAATTAAGGGTCAGCAATTATTTCTTAATATCCAGGGTATTAACTTGAATTTCCTCTCTAAGTTTCCCAAATTGTGTACTTAGGTGTCTGAGTAGGTGGTCATTTTAATTTCTACCTTCTCTTGACTCTTGATTATCCTCTATTTGTCCTTTATTTATATCTCCCTCTACTGGAATATTTGACAGGAGAGATTGCTCCAGATTTGTCTTATTGTCTGGAGGGTGTGGTGAAAAAAAGGAGAGACATTTTTCTGTTTTGTTTTCAGGTTTTTTTTTTAAAGTGCTTGCCATCTTGTGTCTTTTTAGTGGCCATTTTGTTTATTTACTCTCTCTCTAGAGATTATGAACTCTTTCGAATAGTGATAACTTTGATTACTATTCCTTTTGTCCTTAACTTTTCCTCCTGGACCCCTCTCCTCTTCTCCTTCCCCCACACCCTCTTTTCTCCATTTTTATATACCCAATTGTATTTTATCTTTTTTTTTTCTATTTCACATTCACTTATTTCTGCTTTAATGAAGTAGTGAATTCATTGCGAGAAATAGAAAAAATAAGGACAGAGTACAAGTAAGCTGGAAGGAACAGCAAGAAAGAAAAACAGAGTAAACGTTAAATAAATAAATAAATAAAATAGAAGAGAGAAAAAAATATATATATAAAAAATCTAACAAACAGAAACCATAAGGAAAATGAACCCAACCCGCTTAAGACTGTCAGGCAATCAGCTCAGCATTGTGAGCAAAGTTGTACGGACTTTAAATCCTATCTTTCTCAAGGGTCCTTTAGTATTCAGCTGACCAGGAATTTACACTGTGTTACTTGTATATTCCCCTACTGACGATACACATGCATTTAAGTATCATTGGACACTTAGCTTTTTGAAATATGCTCCGGGTTTGGTTTAAGCTACTTCCTCCTGCTATCTTTATTCCTGGAGGAGCTAGCTGTATTGCATAGCTCTGTCTGGCACGGCATTAGGTAGCTCCCTTCTTCTTAGCCCAGCGTCAGGTCCTCTTTGGTCGTTTTGTGGGATCCGTAAAATATCCCCAACTGGCATACCGCGTAGATTGAGCTGTCCCTTCAGTTTTTGGTCCGCTCCCTCAATCGCCCCCTCAGCCGCATTCCATGAGGACGCACACTGTGCACGTTACGTCATCGCTCCACCCCCTCCATCCCTATATAATTTACAATAACCCTTTCTGACATCTGTCCTCTACCAAGCGGCCAATTCATGTATGCACTACGCAAGTTACATTAAATAACATTATAGTACAACAATGAATTATGTACCCTTGCCATGACAGTGTTCTTATTATTTGCCTGTTTTCCTTAGCACAACTTTGAAAGAATACACAGATTATAAGAGGACGGTGGTTGGTTTTTGGAGCGTAGTCAAGTCAGCAGCTCTGCTCACACTGATAGTTCTTTGGATATTTTCAATCAGGAGGGTGTTTATACCTTTAAAATATAGATAGTAATACAATAATAAGCTTAATCATCACAACCTATATGTTTCATTTAGAATTGCAATTTAATTACTTTTATATTTGTTCTTGGCTATTTTAGTAGAAATTATCGTGAAACAGCTATATCTTGTGATCTTGTTTTCTAACAAATGCATTGAACTCTTTTCTGATGTCCTTGTTTCTCAAGCTATAAATAACAGGGTTAAACAATGGGGTAACTAGAGTGTAAAAAAGAGATGTGACCTTATTGATATTTAGTGAGAATCCTTTGTATGGGCTCAAATATATACTAATTAGTGTTCCAAAATATAAACACACAACAATTAAATGTGAGCTGCAGGTGGAGAAGGCTTTCTGTCTCCCTGTGGTGGAGGATATTCCAAGGATAGTGAAGAATATGTGGACATATGTGACAATGACAAATACAAATGGAAATAGTAGTACAAATGGAGTGACCAAAAATACCTCCAATTCAACTACAGAAGTATCTGAGCACGAAAGCTCTACAATTGGAAGAAAATCACAGAAGAAATGATCAATTATATTATGATTACAAAATTCCAATTCATAAATCAAAACATGAGTAATAAAGGTTAAAAAAAAGCCAAGTGACCAAGACAACATAACGAGACAAAGACACATCTTAAAGTCCATGATGGAAGAATAACGAAGTGGGTTACATATGGCTAAGTATCGGTCACAGGACATCACAGTGAGTATATAACATTCAGCAATACAACACAATCCAAACATCTGCAACTGGGTAAGGCAACTAAGCAGAGATATTGTTTTACCTTCTTTCAATATAACATCTAACATGTTGGGTATTACATTTGTAGATAACAAAGTATCGCATAATGACAAATGTCCGAGGAAGAAATACATAGGAGTGTGGAGGGTGTGACTGAGTGACACTAATAGAACAATGAATAAATTACCAGTTGTAGTTATAAAATATAATGAAAAAATAAGAATGAAGAATGGAATTCTAAATAAGGAAAGGTTCTGGAATCCGAGGAGAAAAAATTCTGATATTCCTGTATGATTTTCCTGATGCATTCTTATCCAGAAGAGCAAATAATAAATAAAGAGTAATGTCACGAATCTGTAACAAAGCACAACATGTTGATACAGGTGAACTAATCAGTATTACTTGAATAAAGAAATACATAGAGTTTTCCCACTCCAATGAAAATCAAGACTGGACCAAATAAGCAATTTTCAATACTCCTACTTTACTTGTATTTGTGAATTTTATATATACACATATATGAGATTGTATATTTGTCTGCCTTTCTTTGCTGTTTTTTATGTGCTGTTT